GGGCGCCCATCCCCGGACGGCCCCCTAACCGAGTCTGCTCTCTCCGCAGGGGCGCCCGTGGTTGCCGAACTGCGCTGCCACTGCTTGCAGACTGTGCAGGGAATTCACTTCAAGAACATCCAGAGCGTGAAGGTGACACCCCCGGGACCTCACTGTGGCCAAACGGAAGTCATGTAAGTGCCGCCGCTGCTGCGGTCCTTGTCACCGCTACCCTCCCTGTCCCCCCTCCCCGACCCCCAGCCCCATCTCCGGCCTCACGTGGATTCTCCCCTCTCTCTGCAGAGCCACTCTCAAGAATGGCCAGGAAGCTTGTCTCAACCCCGCAGCCCCCATGGTTAAGAAAATCATCAGTAAGATGCTAAATAAGTAAGTTTTGATTTTTATTCACAATTGGAGCTAGAACCATTGGTTACAAATACAAGTATCTGCCTTCTGAAAAGTATATTAAGGAAACCCACGGTTTAGCTGCAGGACTGAAAATCATTATTATTTCACCATTCAATTCGATCTGCTGTGGTGGTAGAAGGATATTTCCAGTGCCCTCCATCCTCATCCCCCTCCTCATTCAAATGAGTATGGGTAAATGTATGTTCCTAAATGATTAAATCGATTTAGCCAGTGATGCTAAAATGCTTTCAACCCATTAAGGAACAAACATTGTCTACCTCAGTCTCCCATGGGCTTCAGATCAGAAAAGTAGAACCCTTAGTTTTGGACAACACCGGCCTCTAAATCTTAGTGGTAAGAGCAGGGACTGTGCAGTGAAAGCTCCCTGAGTTCAAGGCCAGGACACCTGTGAAATTTTTTGTAATCCCTTTGATCAGTACATTTTCCAAGTGCAGGGCTGGTCCCGGGTCTACAAGCGGAAGTCTCTCCAGCCTCAGGGGCCAGTGCAAGAGAAGGGCAGTTCTCCTGAGCACCTGTAACACTAACCCTTTTTGCATCACAGGAGCAGCACCAACTGACCCAGAGAGAAGTAAGAAGCTCATTGGCGGCAGGTGCTGAAAAGGCATCTCTCCTCTTACAGGAACTGAAGATGTAGAAGAGAACAGCTGGCTTCTAGAAAGGACTAGACATGCTGGGCTATTTTTTATCTATTCTATTTATTTATACATTTATTTATTTATTTTTCAAAGCTCTTATTTTAATATTTTACATGTTAATATTTAAAGATGTGAAGGTGTTTAATGAAACATAATTCAGTCCTGATTGTTATTTAATATGAAGATCATTGGTTTTAAATGTCTCAAACTTGTATTTATTGGGAGACCATAAAGTGCCAAGCACTGTCATAGAGGTACAGGGGGTGGGTGGGAGAGGGAGGTCCAAGCAATTGGACAGTGAGATCACTATTAGAATCAGGGAAAGTGTGTGCACATCTATTTTTGTACTTGTTTAAAAGAATGTCGGTTGTTATACTGAAGTTATTTCATATTATGTCGTCAACATTTTTATGTTGAAGTTTCCCTTGGACATTTTATGTCTTGCTTGTAGGGCATAATGCCTTGTTTAATGTTCATTACACAATGTTTCTCTTTGTTTTGGAACAAAGAAGTTAAAACTGTTGTTACTTTTTTAAATGACATGAAAATAAAAGTTTTGCAAAAAAAAAATGAGTAGGTTTTGTTTTATTCTTCTTGATTTTTAGTTCTATTGGGTGCCCAAGGGATTGCACAGTTAGACTCGGTTTGTGCCTAAATTTATGCCTGTTCCTGGCTGTTACTTTCCTTATTTTTCTCTTAAGAAGTAAGATTTGACACACTATCCTTCCCAACTGCCTTGAGAATCCTAAATTTATATAAAATATTGCTTTTTTCCCCACACTGACCAACTTCTTATTCAAAATTAGTTCTTCATAAACTGTTGAATTTTTATAAATATTTCAACAAGGGCTCCTATTAAATGGTTTGGTAAGTGGTTTTTCAAACAACTATGCAATTCTTTTCCTTTTAATGAAACTGGGTGTGAAACATAGATAAGTGGATTCATCCTAAGAACTCAAACGATCTGTGCTATTTAAAAAAATTGTAATAATGTACAGTAAAATATGACAAAAAATAACACAAAGGATAGGTAGGGAGATAAACAGACTTGAAAACAATACATTTCTCCAATTGTAGGAGAAATTATTAAGGAAAATTGTTATGTGGCAAGAACACAGTAATTTTTAGGGCAGCCACTAAAAAGGAAATGTAAAATTTTGGATTTAAAAAACTGAGAAGAAGATAAAATGAATGAAAATACCTGAATTAAGGAATAAGGGAACAACAGGTAGCACAGGGAAAGATGGGATGAATCTTGCTTTCAGAAGAATGCCTAGTGATATAAGTAGAGTGTCTCTCCTCCTGAAGTTGGGGTTTAATTTCCTTCCCCACATGAGCGTGGGCTGGACTTTGTAACTTACTTCCATAGAAGACATAAGGAAAAAGGAAAAATAATAACCTTACAGAGGAGATTCTGGTAGATACCACCTGAATGAAGTGATCAAGGTTATTATCAGCAGTTCATCATGTGAATATCATGGACTCCTCATGTGATGTGATGAGAAGTGTGCTTCAACTCCAAGATATTCTTACCCCAAACCCATAATCCCAGTGTAATCAAGAGAAAGTGATCATAAAATTCCAAACTGAGGAATATTCTACAAAACACCAAATGAATATCCTTCAAAACTGTTGAAGTGATCAAAAACAAGACAAGGCTGAGAATCTGCTACAGATCAGAGGAGACAGAGGAAGACATGAAGTCTAAATGCATTGTGGTGTCTAGGGTTGGATCCAGCAATAGAAAAAGGACATTCCTGGAAATTGGTGAGATCTGAATGAAGGCTGAAATGTAGCTAATAGCAATGTACCAATGTTAATTTCTTAGTTTTGACAAATGTTCCATAATTATGTCAAGTGTCAACATTAGGAGATACTGGGCAAAAGATCCACAGGAACTCTTTATACTATCTATGCAAATTTTTTTTAATCTAAAATTATTCTAGACTTCCGGGCAAGA